TTGTTGTTGGCAGTGAATGCGGAAGTCAGCAGCAGCTGGTGCTGAGGACAGGCAGCTGGTGGTAGTGGTGGTGCTGAGGACAGGCAGCTGGTGGTAGTGGTGGTGCTGAGGACAGGCTGGTGGTGGTGGTGCTGAGGACAGGCTGGTGGTGGTAGTGGTGGTGCTGAGGACAGGCTGGTGGTGGTGGTACTGAGGACAGGCTGGTGGTGGTAGTGGTGGTGCTGAGGACAGGCTGGTGGTGGTGGTGGTGAGGACAGGCTGGTGGTGGTAGTGGTGGTGCTGAGGACAGGCTGGTGGTGGTGGTGCTGAGGACAGGCTGGTGGTGGTAGTGGTGGTGCTGAGGACAGGCTGGTGGTGGTGGTGGTGAGGACAGGCTGGTGGTAGTGGTGGTGAGGACAGGCTGGTGGTGGTAGTGGTGGTGCTGAGGACAGGCTGGTGGTGGTGGTGGTGAGGACAGGCTGGTGGTGGTAGTGGTGGTGCTGAGGATAGGTTGGTGGTGGTAGTGGTGGTGCTGAAGACAGGCTGGTGGTGGTGGTGCTGAGGACAGGCTGGTGGTGGTGGTGCTGAGGACAGGCTGGTGGTGGTTGTGGTGGTGCTGAGGACAGGCTGGTGGTGGTAGTGGTGGTGCTGAGGACAGGCTGGTGCTGAAGACAGGCTGGTGGTGGTGGTGAGAACAGCCTGTAGTGGTGCTGAGGACAGTCTGTGGTGGTAGAGGTGCTGAGGACAGGTTGACAGTGGTAGGGGTGGTGGTGAGGACAGGCTGGCAGTGAAGACATTCTAGTGGTGGCGGTGGCGAGGACAGCCTGTGGTAGTAGTGGTGGTGGTGAGGACAGGCTGGTGGTGGTAGTGGTGGTGGTGAGGACAGCCTGTGGTGGTAGTGGTGGTGCTGAGAACAGGCTGGTGGTGGTAGTGGTGGCGCAGAGGACAGGCTGATGGTGGTAGTGGTGGTGCTGAGGACAGACTGGTGGTGGTAGTGGTGGTGCTGAGAACAGGCTGGTGGTGGTAGTGGTGGCGCTGAGGACAGACTGATGGTGGTAGTGGTGGTGCTGAGAACAGGCTGGTGGTGGTAGTGGTGGTGCTGAGGACAGACTGATGGTGGTAGTGGTGGTGCTGAGGACAGACTGGTGGTGGTAGTGGTGGTGCTGAGGACAGACTGATGGTGGTAGTGGTGGTGCTGAGGACAGACTGATGGTGGTAGTGGTGGTGCTGAGAACAGGCTGGTGGTGGTAGTGGTGGTGCTGAGGACAGGCTGATGGTGGTAGTGGTGGTGCTGAGGACAGACTGATGGTGGTAGTGGTGGTGCTGAGAACAGGCTGGTGGTGGTAGTAGTGGTGCTGAGAACAGGCTCGTGGTGGTAGTGGTGGCGCTGAGGACAGACTGATGGTGGTAGTGGTGGTGCTGAGAACAGGCTGGTGGTGGTAGTGGTGGTGCTGAGGACAGACTGATGGTGGTAGTGGTGGTGCTGAGGACAGACTGGTGGTGGTAGTGGTGGTGCTGAGGACAGACTGGTGGTGGTAGTGGTGGTGCTGAGGACAGACTGGTGGTGGTAGTGGTGGCGCTGAGGACAGACTGATGGTGGTAGTGGTGGTGCTGAGAACAGGCTGGTGGTGGTAGTGGTGGTGCTGAGGACAGACTGATGGTGGTAGTGGTGGTGCTGAGGACAGACTGGTGGTGGTAGTGGTGGTGCTGAGAACAGACTGATGGTGGTAGTGGTGGTGCTGAGGACAGACTGATGGTGGTAGTGGTGGTGCTGAGGACAGACTGATGGTGGTAGTGGTGGTGCTGAGGACAGACTGATGGTGGTAGTGGTGGTGCTGAGAACAGGCTGGTGGTGGTAGTGGTGGTGCTGAGGACAGACTGATGGTTGTAGTGGTGGTGCTGAGGACAGACTGGTGGTGGTAGTGGTGGTGCTGAGGACAGACTGGTGGTGGTAGTGGTGGTGCTGAGGACAGACTGGTGGTGGTAGTGGTGGTGCTGAGGACAGACTGGTGGTGGTAGTGGTGGTGCTGAGGACAGACTGATGGTGGTAGTGGTGGTGCTGAGGACAGACTGGTGGTGGTAGTGGTGGTGCTGAGGACAGACTGGTGGTGGTAGTGGTGGTGCTGAGGACAGACTGGTGGTGGTAGTGGTGGTGCTGAGGACAGACTGGTGGTGGTAGTGGTGGTGCTGAGGACAGACTGGTGGTGATAGTGGTGGTGCTGAGGATAGCAGTAGTCATTAGTTATCAGACTGGGACAGACTGATGCAGCAGTATTCAAGTATGGTAGTTACCGAGTGTCATTCATCGTCTTGTGAGTAACACTCAGTGATAACTTTGTACCACAGTAGTTAGTGATAACCTTGTACCACAGTAGTTAGTGATAACCTTGTACCACAGTAGTTAGTGATAACCTTGTACCACAGTAGTTAGTGATAACTTTGTACCACAGTAGTTAGTGATAACTTTGTACCACAGTAGTCAGTGATAACTTTGTACCACAGTAGTTAGTGATAACTTTGTACCACAGTAGTTAGTGATAACCTTGTACCACAGTAGTTAGTGATAACTTTGTACCACAGTAATCAGTGATAACCTTGTACCACAGTAGTTAGTGATAACTTTGTACCACAGTAGTTAGTGATAACCTTGTACCACAGTAGTTAGTGATAACCTTGTACCACAGTAGTTAGTGATAACCTTGTACCACAGTAGTTAGTGATAACCTTGTACCACAGTAGTTAGTGATACCTTGTACCACAGTAGTTAGTGATAACCTTGTACAACAGTAGTTAGTGATAACCTTGTACCACAGTAGTTAGTGATAACTTTGTACCACAGTAGTTAGTGATAACTTTGTACCACAGTAGTTAGTGATAACCTTGTACCACAGTAGTTAGTGATAATTTTGTACCACAGTAATTAGTGATAACCTTGTACCACAGTAGTTACTGATAACCTTGTACCACAGTAGTTAGTGATAACCTTGTACCACAGTAGTTACTGATAACCTTGTACCACAGTAGTTAGTGATAACCTTGTACCACAGTAGTTAGTGATAACCTTGTACCACAGTAGTTAGTGATAACCTTGTACCACAGTAGTTAGTGATAACCTTGTACCACAGTAGTTACTGATAACCTTGTACCACAGTAGTTACTGATAACCTTGTACCACAGTAGTTAGTGATAACTTTGTACCACAGTAGTTAGTGATAACCTTCTACCACAGTAGTTAGTGATAACCTTGTACCACAGTAGTTAGTGATAACTTTGTACCACAGTAGTTAGTGATAACTTTGTAGCACAGTAGTTAGTGATAACCTTGTACCACAGTAGTTAGTGATAACTTTGTACCACAGTAATCAGTGATAACCTTGTACCACAGTAGTTAGTGATAACTTTGTACCACAGTAGTTAGTGATAACCTTGTACCACAGTAGTTAGTGATAACCTTGTACAACAGTAGTTAGTGATAACCTTGTACCACAGTAGTTAGTGATAACTTTGTACCACAGTAGTTAGTGATAACCTTGTACCACAGTAGTTAGTGATAACCTTGTACCACAGTAGTTACTGATAACCTTGTACAACAGTAGTTAGTGATAACCTTGTACCACAGTAGTTAGTGATAACCTTGTACCACAGTAGTTAGTGATAACTTTGTACCACAGTAGGTAGTGATAACCTTGTACCACAGTAGTTAGTGATAACCTTGTACCACAGTAGTTAGTGATAACCTTGTACCACAGTAGTTAGTGATAACTTTGTACCACAGTAGTTAGTGATAACCTTGTACCACAGTAGTTAGGGATAACCTTGTACCACAGTAGTTAGTGATAACTTTGTACCACAGTAGTTAGTGATAACTTTGTACCACAGTAGTTAGTGATAACCTTGTACCACAGTAGTTAGTGATAACTTTGTACCACAGTAATCAGTGATAACCTTGTACCACAGTAGTTAGTGATAACTTTGTACCACAGTAGTTAGTGATAACTTTGTACCACAGTAGTTAGTGATAACCTTGTACCACAGTAGTTAGTGATAACCTTGTACCACAGTAGTTAGTGATAACCTTGTACCACAGTAGTTAGTGATAACCTTGTACCACAGTAGTTAGTGATAACTTTGTACAACAGTAGTTAGTGATAACCTTGTACCACAGTAGTTAGTGATAACCTTGTACCACAGTAGTTAGTGATAACCTTGTACCACAGTAGTTAGTGATAACCTTGTACCACAGTAGTTAGTGATAACCTTGTACCACAGTAGTTAGTGATAACTTTGTACCACAGTAGTTAGTGATAACCTTGTACCACAGTAGTTAGTGATAACCTTGTACCACAGTAGTTAGTGATAAACCTTGTACCACAGTAGTTAGTGATAACCTTGTACCACAGTAGTTAGTGATAACCTTGTACCACAGTAGTTAGTGATAACCTTATACCACAGTAGTTAGTGATAACTTTGTACCACAGTAGTCAGTGATAACCTTGTACCACAGTAGTTAGTGATAACTTTGTACCACAGTAGTCAGTGATAACCTTGTACCACAGTAGTTAGTGATAACTTTGTACCACAGTAGTCAGTGATAACCTTGTACCACAGTAGTTAGTGATAACCTTGTACCACAGTAGTTAGTGATAACTTTGTACCACAGTAGTCAGTGATAACCTTGTACCACAGTAGTTAGTGATAACCTTGTACCACAGTAGTTAGTGATAACCTTGTACCACAGTAGTTAGTGATAACCTTGTACCATCTAATGGGACAACCTTTCGCTCTCTGTCTTGCATCCCTTTCGCCCCTATTTCCGTCTCGCCAGTACCTCACCTTCTATACGTCTCGCCCTTTATCGCTTGTCCCTGCTTCTCCCCTGCCTCTCCCCTGCCTCTCTCTTGCCTCTCCCCTGCTTCTCCCCTGCTTCTCCCCTGCCTCTCCCTTGCCTTTCCCCTGCTTCTAATTTGCTTCTCCCCTGCCTCTTCCCCTGCTTCTTCCGTGCCTCTCCCCTGCCGCTCCCCTGCCTCTCCCCTGCTTCTCCCCTGTCTCTCCCCTGCCTCTCCCCCTGCCTCTCCTCTGCCTCTTCCCTGCCTCTCCCCTGCCTCTCCCTGACTCCTTCTGTCTCTTTCTCTGCCTGTTCCTTGCCTCTTCCCTGCTTCTCCCCTGCCTCTCCCCTGCCTCTCATCTACTTCTTCGTGCCTCTCCCCTGCCCCTTCCCTGCTTCTCCCCTGCCTCTCCCTTGCCTCTCCCGTGCCTCTCCCGTGCCTCTCCCCTGCTTCTCCCATGCCTCTCCTCTGCCTCTCCCCTGCCTCTCCCCTGCTTCTCCCCTGTCTCTTCTCTGTCTCTCCTCCGCCTCTTCCCTGCTTCTCCCGTGCCTCTCCTGCCTCTCAGCTGCCTCTCCCCCTGTCTCTCCCCTGCCTCTCCCATATCTCTCCCCTGTCTCTCCCCCTGCCTCTCCCCCTGTTTCTCCCCTGCCTCTCCCCTGCCTCTGCTCTGCCTCTTTCCATGCCTCTCCCCTGCCTCTCCCCTGCCTCTTCCCATGTCTCTCCTCTGCCTCTCCTCTGCCTCTCCTCTGCCTCTCCCCTGCCTCTCCCCTGCCTCTCTTCGTGCTCTTCCGTGTCTCTCCCCTGCCTCTCCCCTGCCTCTTCCCCGGCCTCTCTCTTGCTTCTCCCCTGCCTCTACCCTGCTTCTACTCTGCCTCTCCCCTACCTCTCCTCTGCCTCTCCCCTTCCTCTCCCCCTGCCTCTACCCTGCTTGTACTCTGCCTCTCCCCTGCCTCTCCTCTGCCTCTCCCCTTCCTCTCCCCCTGCCTCTCCCCCTGCTTCTCCCCTGCTCCTCTCCAGCCTCTCCCTTGCCTCTCCTTTGCCTTTCCTCTGCCTCTACCTCTGCTTCTCCCCTGCTTCTCCCCTACCTCTCTCCTGCCTCTCCCCTGCCTCTCCCCTGCCTCTCCACTGCCTCTCCACTGCCTCTCCCTGCCTCTCCACTGCTCTCCCCTGCCTCTCCACTGCCTCTCCACTGCCTCTCCCCTGCCTCTCCACTGCCTCTCCCCTGCCTCTCCCCTGCCTCTCCACTGCCTCTCCACTGCCTCTCCCCTGCCTCTCCACTGCCTCTCCACTGCCTCTCCCCTGCCTCTCCACTGCCTCTCCCTGCCTCTCCACTGCCTCTCCACTGCCTCTCCCTGCTCTCCACTGCCTCTCCCCTGCCTCTCCCCTGCCTCTCCACTGCCTCTCCCCTGCCTCTCCACTGCCTCTCCACTACCTCTCCACTGCCTCACAAGCCAATCATTCTCTGGGTTTAGGCCTGCCACAGTATCTCTCAGGTGTCACTTATAATCACTCTGGCAGCAACGTAATTAACCAGGTATGAAGTTAAATTAGCTGGGAAAAAGCTGTTATTGCTTTTGTTTGGGAAAGTTAGTGGTCGAGGTTAATCCTCACTTGTGTCGCTGTCACCTCTGCTTTCATAACAAAGTTGCTGCCGTCGCCAGCGTGTTTGTAACAGCAGCTGTGTTGTCACCAGCATGTTTGTGATGGCCCAGTGATCTTGTCTACACACATGCAAAAGTTACTGATTTGTTTATACACCTGTGAAGATTATTTGGTTTCACCTACACACCTGTGACAGTCACTGCTTTCCCCTACACACCTGCACCAGTCACTGCTTATATCTACACACCTGCAATAGTCTTCACTTACACACCTGCAAGTTTTCACTTACACACTTGTAACAATCTTCACCTACACACCTGCTTTCAGGTTTTTATCTCCTGGATGTTAAATTATACACTGTAATACTGAGTCATTGTTATGTTGACCGAATAATAGCGAATGACAGCAAAATGTATAGACAACGTGGGTAAGGTGCCAACACCTGCTAGACAACACAGGTAAGGTGCCAACACCTGCTAGACAACACAGGTAAGGTGCCAGCACCTACTAGACAACACAGGTAAGGTGCCAGCACCTACTTTACAATGCAAGTAAGATGCTAACACCTGCTAGACAACACAGTTACGGTGCCAACACCTGCTAGACAACACAGAAAAGGTGCCAACACCTGCTAGACAACACAGGTAAGTAAGGTGCCAACACCTGCTAGACAACACAGTTACGGTGCCAACACCTGCTAGACAACACGGGAAAGGTGCCAACACCTGCTAGACAACACAGGTAAAGTGCCAACACCTGCTAGACAACACAGGTAAGGCGCCAAAGCCTACTAGACAACACTGATAAGGTGCCAACACCTGCTAGACAACACAGTTACGGTGCCAACACCTGTTAGACAACACAGGAAAGGTGCCAACACCTGCTAGACAACACAGGTAAGTAAGGTGCCAAGACCTGCTAGACAACACAGTTACGGTGCCAACACCTGCTAGACAACACAGTTACGGTGCCAACACCTGCTAGACAACACGGGAAAGGTGCCAACACCTGCTAGACAACACAGGTAAGGTGCCAACACCTGCTAGACAACACAGTTACGGTGCCAACACCTGCTAGACAACACACGTAAGGTGCCAGCACCTACTTCACAACGCAAGTAAGATGCTAACACCTGCTAGACAACACAGGTAAAGTGCCAACACCTGCTAGACAACACAGGTAAGGCGCCAAAGCCTACTAGAAAACACTGGTAAGGTGCCAACACCTGCTAGACAACACAGTTACGGTGCCAACACCTGCTAGACAACACAGGAAAGGTGCCAACACCTTCTAGACAACACAGGTAAGGTGCCAACACCTGCTAGACAACACAGTTACGGTGCCAACACCTGCTAGACAACACGGGAAAGGTGCCAACACCTGCTAGACAACTCAGGTAAGGTGCCAACACCTGCTAGACAACTCAGGTAAGGTGCCAACACCTGTTAGACAACACAGGTAAGGCGCCAAAGCCTACTAGACAACAAAGGTACGGTGCCAACACACTTTACCTCTCAAACTGTCACATTACAACACATTAATCATCAATGGCACCGCACAAGACTATTGTGTGAATTCACAGAATGGCACTCAGGGCAGTTCTCGCGCAAGGCTGCAACACCATGCTGGCACACTCTCATCATAACTATTCTTCCTTTCTCTTGGCCTGACAGCATCGACGGACGCAACGGACCGGTCCGTCGGGCGCAGCACTGGGCCGACGAGCGAGCTCTGGGTAATCGGGCGTACTTCGACCTGTCTTCGCGTCCCCCGGGTCTGGTGTTGAGACCGCTGGCCTTCTCTGACCAGGACGAATACCGCTGTAGGGTCGACTTCAGGTCTTCCCCCACCAGGAACGTCAGAGTCAACCTCAGAGTAATAGGTAGGTCTCTGTATGTCGCGTGTCTCAAGGATACAATTTACCTGCCAACAGAATAGTAATGATATTTCTGCCTATCAGAAAAGTTATGAATTAGCTAAGCTTTTAATAAGTGATACTTCTCTTTCTTCCCAATAACCACCCACTGAGAGTTGCAACACATTACTAACTCAGTGTATGCTAACCTCTCTTCACGACTCAATATTTCATATGTATATATATTAAGCTAGAAAATCCTTTAGCTCATGCAATGTAAATTCGCTTGAAACTCGTTCGGCTCAGCGCTTCAAACTCTCTAAGACATCCCGCAAATTATATTAACCCAGCAAAACCGCACAATGATTTTCCCCAAGAAAGAAAAATGCGAAAGTTAACGTGGCATTGTTGCTGGTGTTGGAGAACTTATATTGTGGCTTGTGTTAGTGGGAGTTTGTGTTAGTTTGGGAATGCTGGCAGACACTGTGTGCGAGACTCTGAGGCATGGCCAGATAGTAGACAATAACTCACTAGTTACCACAGCCTGCTGTTGTGAGTGTTTTCATTTATTTTACCACTAACACCACCTCATCATTTTACCATCACGCCGTCAATCTATCACACCATCAGATCAACACACCATTATGCCATCTTTGTCATGATGTGAAGATATAAGAAAAGAAAAAGACTGAAAAGTGGAAAGGACACAGACTGACTACAGTAAGTGTGGTCAAGTAAATATTAACTGGACGACATCGAATACAAGACCACCGTTGCTGTGAATATAAAACAACACACAACACACACACACACACACACACCCACACACACCACACACCACACACACACACACACACACATACACCAACCCACACACCACACACACACACACACCACACACACACACCACACACCACACACCACACACACACACACACACAACACACACCACACCAACACCCACACCACACACACACCACACACACCCACACAACCACACACACACTCACACACACCACACACACACACACACACACACACAACACCTACACCACACACCACACACACACATCACACACCACACACACACACACCACACACACCACACACACACACACACACACACAACAACACACACCACACCACACACACACACACACCACACACCACACCACACACACCACACACCACACACACACACACACACCACACCCACACACACCCACACCACACACAACACACCCCACACACACACCCACACACACACACACCACACACACACACACACACACACACCCACACCACACACACACCACACACACACACACACACACACACACACACACACCACACACACACACACACACCCCACACACACACACACACCACACACACAACACTACACACACTCACACACACACACACACCACACACCACACACACACACACACACACACACACACCACACACACACACACACACACACACACACACACACAACACCACACACACACAACACAAACACACCACACACACACACACACACACATACACACACTCCACACCACACACCACCCACACAACCCCACACACACAACAACACAACACACACACACAACAACACACACACACCCACACACACACCCCACACCAAAACACAACACCACCAACAACACAACATACAACACCACACACAAAACCCCACACCAACACATTTTTAAAACCCAACAAACCCACC